CTTGCCACATACTCAAGAAGCCACAAACTCTCTGTACCTTCCTGGTCATGATGTCTTATACCCTCAAAATGAGAGCAAAAATAAACTGTTCTTCCCTTAAGAAAAAAAATTCAGTAGAAGAGGCATCGAGAGATTATCTCTACCTCTCCCCCATCCTGCCCCTGTGTGCACCTGGGTGATTATGCACAGTCCTTAACAGCTCCCTCACATGAGTGTCCAGGTAAAAATCAGGCTATCTCAGAGAGCAATGGAAGCTATAATTGTGACACTGCATGTCTTGATAGCCCCTATTTTGTTGTGCTTTCATAGCAATGGAAAAATAAAAGCATTAAGTGCAGTGAAACTGAGGTCAACAAGCTTCACTCTTTGGCTTTTGTCTCCATATTTCTAACATCATTCTTTTTTGTCTGAAAAAATGTTTCAATGGGTGGCTGATGATGGTACTTGTTTAGTTTGTTGATTTGGGTTTTATGAGACTACAAAGGGAATTCAAGTAAAGAGATTCCAATAGAAGCAGACGCAGAGATTTATATCCAAGCACTGGGCTGAGCTCCAGGAGTCCAGTGGAAGAGAGGGTGGAGAGATTGTATGAGCAAGGCGGGATCAAGACAGTGAAGCAGAAACCCACAGAGACAGCTGACCTGAGCTTGTGGGAGTTCATGGACTCTGGTTGGACAGTTAGGGAGTCGGATGGGACTGACCTAGGTCATCTGCATCTGGGTGACAATTGTGTAGCTTTGTCTTTTGTGGGGCCCCTAGCAGTGGGACCAGCACCTATTCCTGATGCATGACCTGGCTCTTTGAAACCTATTTCCTATGGTGGGATGCCTTGAAGATGCCTTGTCCAGCCTAGATGCAGGGGAGAGGAACTTGATGTGCCATGCTTTGTTGATTCCCATGGGAGAGGCCTTACCCCATCTAAGTGGAGAAGGAGGAAGAGTGGATGGGGGGGCATGGGACAGGTGTAGGGAGGGAGTGGGAGGAGGGGGGGAGAGGAGACTGTGGTTGGTATTTAAATAAATTTTTAAAATGATGAGAAAAAGAGAACCAGTGGAAAGACGTGTGAATAACAAAGGAATTCAGAGAGAAGCAGGCATGAGGGGCACCAAATTGTTCTCTTCAGGATATTCCCACTTACTGACTTTGGAGGAGCAACCATTTGTTGGATAATTTATTTACTCATATTGAAAGTGGCTCCTGGGGACCTCGGCAATCTCTGGGGCCTTGGGTAGTAGATCAGTGTTTACCATGGCGTATGGATGAACTTTGGGAGCCCATTCCATATGGAGGGAACCTCTCTCAGCCTGGGCACATGGGGGAGTGCTTAGGCCCCGCCCCAGATGAAGTGACAGACTCTGAAGACCTCTCCCCATGGAAGGCCTCACCCTCCATGGAGAATGATGTGGGGATTGGGTGGTGGACCCAAGTTCAGCTCCCAGAATTCACATCAGGTGGCTCACAGCTGCCTGTAACTCCAAGTTCAGGGGGTTCCCATGTCTCTAGTCTCCTCAGGTGCCTGCTTCAATGCGCACACTCACATGCAGACACAAACACATACACATAAGTAAGAATAAAGTCTCTTTCTTAAAAAAAGAATTATGCATGGATTATGCATGGCCACTCTTATTCCAATATTGGACTCCTTTTTGCCACACTCGGCTGCTGACAAGAGGTAAAGGTAAGGAGTTATAGACGCTGGGACATGCTGCTTCATCCAGCATGATGGGTGGAGCAGTTTCCATGAAGAGGATGGGAAGATGGCTCAGAAATTAAGAACACTTGTTCCACAAGCTTAAGAACTTGAGTTCAAATCCATGTCAAAAGCTAGATGTGGCATCATACATGCCTGTGACCTCAGCACTGAGGGAGGCAGAGACAGGAGGATCACTGGGGCTTGCTCGTTCCATGCCTCACTTCAAATTCAGTGAGAGACTGGAGCATGATAGAGGTGGTGACCCAATGTTCTCTGGCCTCCATGTAGCATGTACACATACATGCACACACGTGCATATACTGCACACAAAATACTACTACACACACGTGCCACATGTAAACATAGTGTATGTACTGTATTTTGTAAGGGTTCAAGTTTATATTATGCTTGAAGTCAAATCCTTTCATGTTTCTTAAAGATAATACTGATTTAATTTGTGTGTCTCTGGTTCCCTCACTTGGAAATGGGTACCACAGTTCTTTACTCCTGGGAGTGTAATTAGGTTTAAATTTAAAACAAAAAATGCTCAGTACAGTTTCTACCACAAATCAAACTCCTAACTAACTCAATCTATGTCCATTTCAAGAGGATGTGGATGTTGCAACAGATAAATGTAGTCCACTGACAATAGGTTACCTCTTCTGTACAGAAATAAGACACTGAAGTGCTTGTTTCCCAGGACCTGATGGAATAACTGAATATCGTACTATGGAAAGTCAATCTCACTGAGAGCTCAGTAGCTTGGATCTCAGTTCACAATGCCAAAGGCAACTGAAGACAGCCCTCCTAAGCTGTGTAATGGGCACCTAGCATGAAGCTTTTTCCAGAGGTGTCTGTGTTTTCAAAATGGCTGAGTGATTATTTTCTGGCATTTTGATATCTGGGTCTTGGAAAACCATACGTTATCACACAAAGGAAACAGTGAGCTGAACCATGCGTGGGTGAGGTGGAGTGCTTGATTCGAGACACAGAAATTCTTTTTATTGTTCTACAGTGACTTTGAACAATAGACCTTTTCACAGAAGTGAGGTTTGTACACAGTTGATGTTGTCCCATATAAGCTCTGGAATGGCTTTTAAACACACCCCTTCTTTTATGTTAAAAAAAGAGGGGCAAGCCTTCCTAGAATGTTCACACATTTCTTGCCTTCTTAACTAAAGATGTGCATTATAAGCCGAATGGTTCCTGAATACTTTCTGTGAAGCTGGTGCCATGTTTCAGGACTTCACTCTAGTTTTCATAACAAGTCCATGGGTGCTGCCTAACCCTTGCCTTCAGATGGGGAAACTTGGGGCAGAGAAGCCAAGTTATTTATTCAAGATTATATAGTTAGAAGTGGTAGAGCTGTGATCTGAACTCCATCTCCCCAGACTCCTAAGAAACACAACTTATCGTTGGAGAACATTTTTGGTTAAGAAATGACAGAAATGATTATTAAACATCAAAGAAGAACTCTTGAAAGTCTGAACATACACTTCAAAAGTGTCTCCATCATTTTTGGTGTTTGAAAAGGGTGCATTTTAAACCAGAAGTGCAAACTTTTACATATCCATGACTATTCCTTTGTTTAGAAGATGCTGTTTGAGCACCTGTGTTCTGGTGTGACTGTGGGACCGACCATTACATTCTAGGCCCTATAGGAACAAAGAAGTGTCATGAGGCACACGATTGCCTTCCTAAAGGTCCCTTACAAGAGATATGTCATCTGAGGCAAGAAGGGGACCTCACTTCACTCTTGATCAGGAGGACCTCAAGAAAGTGTCGACTTTTAAATCCACCCTTCAAGGAAATTGATCTCCTTGACTTCCTCCATCCTGTATAAATGAGACTAATGAGTGAGAGCAGGGGACACAGGCAGAATTAGATGCTCTTTTGCTTTCAAAGAGGCTTCGCTGTATTCAATAGCTCAAGCTATTTTACTTGACCAGATACTAACTGACCTTGGGATAGATGGAAACGTTTGTTGTTTAGATGGTAGTTAATGAAAATGAGAAACTTGTAAAAACTGCATCTCTTGATAAAAGATGTGTTTCCAGTGAGATATGTTCCTCCATGCAGTTAGCAAATGTAGCTAAATGCAAATCTAGATCTAAACCAACATGGACAAAGCCATTGGGTATGTTGATGGCATCAGTGAAATTGAGCATATTATTTCCTGTGTCAATGACTTAAACATAATTTTCATGACTGTATCATTTTAAAAGCAATGAGTTAAGAGAAAATACCCTGTAACTTCTTGTACTGGATGGTTTTGTGTGTCAACTTGACACAAATTAGAGTCATCAGAGGAAGGATCCTCAGCTGAGGAAAGGCTTCCTTGAGATCCAGCTGTAAGGCATTTTCTCATTTAGTGATCAATGGCAGGGGCCCAGCCCATAGTGGGTGGTACCATCCTGGGCTGTTGGTCCTGGGTTCTATAAGAAGGTGAGCTAAGCAAGCTATGGGACGCAAGCCAGTAAGCAGCTCCCCTCCATGACCTCTACATCAGCTCCTGCCTCCAGGACCCTGCCCTGTTTGAGTTCCTGTTTTGATTTTCTTCAGTGATAAACAGCCATGCAGAAGTATAAGCCAAATAAATCATTTCTTACCTAATTTGCTTTTTGGTTACAGCAATGGAAACCCTCACTGAGAAACTTCTGTCATTCAGACATGACTAAGATGCTGTATTCTCACACCCTTAGGGCATCTTTTGATGTCCATTTTCTGAGCCACCTTCCTCCCGTAGGAACTAATGCAGTCTCTTTATGGCTCCCACTCAGTATGGCGGGTGCTATTTATGTACAGTGCTGGCATAAGTGTGTGTGATGATCAAGGAGAGAGATGGTTGGTTGTCTTGAACCCTTTTAAATTCGGTCTCCTTTCTCTTTCTGTCTCATACATTGACCAGTAGCCATTGTGTCTGGCTGCTTTCCATGCATCTGCTTATAACCACTCCCTAGTAAAATTTTTCCCTGGGATTAAGTGCTAGAATGCCTAGTGATCAATCTAGTCAATATGTGTTTTCAGAGTAAGAGTGAGCAGACTCTGAGGGGCTGAATTAGAGTGTGAACTGCAGCTATCTTCACTGCCAGGAAAGCATTACTTATCCACATAGAGATAATTGAATTTTGCTTTATTGCTGATGTCTAGCTAAGTGGCATTACTATTAAGGACACTTTGGCAAGAAGGATTTGTTTTTCCAAAAGAAAGGGGAGGAAAGAAGGGAGAAGACAGAGGACAGGAGAAGGAAAGGAAATGCCAGAAGGGGATCTCATTTTGAATCTTTCTTTCTGCTTGCTGTTCACAGTGGATTGAACTTCATTGACCTGATGGTGCGACAAGGGAACATTGACAATCCTCCTAAGACACCCTTGGTGCCAGGATTTGAGTGTTCTGGGATTGTTGAAGCTCTAGGAGACAGCGTGAAAGGATACGAGGTAAAGTTTTAAGTCTGGCATAAAGAGCAGTAATCATCTAGAATCTATGAGGCACTATATACTATGTAAAATATATTTGAAGTAATAGTAGTCATGTTTTATTTGGTCACTTTGCGTTAGATAACATTAACCATATCTGCAATGATAGGACTTTGCAAAAATTTCATGACTTTGCATAATTTTTTAGAATTTTTTTCACATACTATCTTCGTTGCCCCTGGCAACAGTTTGGAGAAGCGGGCCGGACAAGCCTTGTTATATTCCTTTTTCATACTTAATTAATATAGCTGTTCAGACTATTCGGTTTTGTAGTAACTGAGCGCATGGCCCCTTGCTCCAGTTCCAGCTACTATTTTCCACCATCTCAGGCCTCCAATCAACCAGAAAACACAAATGTAAGGGGAGTTCATTATTTTATAATACAGTTCCTTAAAGTATTTACCTAGGTGGTACCTTTCAAGCTATTATTTACAAATCCTGGGCTATTTCATGATAGGATAAAATAGGATTTCAGATTAAAAAATAGTTTAAGTCAAGGAATCTCGCCCTGACAATAGGATAGAATTGGTGAGGGATTAATTAATGGCCTTGGGAAAAGGGCAACATGTAAGTGGTTTATTTCCTTATTCTGCTTTCATACACATGTGAAATTCTCCACAATAAAATATTTTATTTTGAAAAATGATGCATGCACGAATCTTCCTGCTGTTCTAATACAAACTAAATACAACTGAAGCCCTGTGCCTGGCAAGGTGGCTTTTGATAAAGGTGTTTGCCACCAAGCCTGATGACTTTAGTTCAGTCTCTACAACACAGGAGGTTGAAAGAGAGAGCTGCAAGCTGTCCTCTGACTTGCACACAGTGTTGTGGCACACGCGCACATACACACACACACACACACACACACACACACACTCTTATGAAACACTGCAGCGACATCAGCTGTATAAAAATTGGGACTCTGGCTTCTAAAAACTCAATAGAAATCAAATTCAAGGGTTCTCACTCATAACTGAGATCTCCACAAACAGGCAGGGAGACTGACAACTGAGAACACACCATAACCAGCTTTGTATAGCAACCTTATTTTCTCTAACCACAGTGAACACACGCACACACACACACACACACACACACACAGAGAGAGAGAGAGAGAGAGAGAGAGAGAGAGAGAGAGAGAGAGAGAGAGAGAGAGAGAATGTTCTTACTATTCCATTGGGTTCAAAAGGTGCAGTAATTCTCTTGTGAGGTTAGAAGGTAGAAAGTAGAAGCAGACCCCAGACTTACCAAAGCCATCTTACAATTCCTAGGATCTCATGGCTTTTACCCTCACCCTCAACGCTGCAAAAATGCATGCAAGGGATGAGGAGTGAAGATGATCCCTGTGAAACCCAACGCCAACTTTCTCTTCCCCTTGACCTTTAGCGTGTGGCTGGTCCTCACCTGAAAATACTGAATGTTCTAAATTCATGTTGAGGGATCCCTGGAAACCTCATCCCATTTAGTGATGCTTCTGCCAATGATTTCCAAACAACATAGGAGAAGAAAGCTACAGAAAAGAAGAAAGGATGAGCTTTGGATTTTTAAATACAACTTCACATTCTCTGTCCCTAGTAGACACTGCCACCAAGGCACATATCTCTCTTTCCGGAAGTGCTGCACATATATAGATCTGTTTGTTCTTCACTCCTCTATGTGGCCCCAAAGGAAAATCTCACTCTTTCATTCTGCTAGCCCTGAGCATTGAACAAACACCAATAAACAGAAACGTTATTGGACTTGGTTTAGAGGGATAACTTACTATACTCAATTAAATTCATTTGTCATTCAGATATTACTTATCTTCTTTTAGTTAGCCCTGACTTGATAGTCTGAGCAAGGACTCCTCACTGTCTAACCCAGAGAGGACTCTGGCACAGGAGCACATGTTTATATCTAAGCCATTTTCATCTCCAGCAAAATGGAAAGATGTAAGTAGCAGCTACTCCTCCGTGCCCGATCATCAAATCATCATGGTGATTGATTGCTCTCTCAGACCAAGCAGACCAGTCTTTGCATTGTTCCCATTGCTGGCAAGGTATACCAGAGTTCAGTGACTCAGATATCTCTCCTGAATTGAACTCTGTCAGCTCCAGGAGGGATGCCCTGACACCGGAACAGAGATATGTAGGTTCTCTTAGAACACTACAGATATGGTCCTCACATGTGTCATCTAATTGAGCTCCTCTTAACCCAGATCTGATAGGTTCCAGGATAGCCAGGAAAGTCTTTATAGACACTGTGACATCCACACACTGAGGTTATAGCAACCTTATCTCCAAATACACAGAACTGATTGGTCCTAGGAAGTAGGCAACTATGAAATATCTTGGACCACATCAACCCTCTACACATAAAAACATGATCTTCACTCTTTTAAACCAGTGTATGGAACATCACCATGCTCATGCCATCAGCTTAAGAATTTATTTTCTACTAAAATATTCCTTCCAGATGGAGTTGCCTCCTAAGGCCTGTCACTCAAATATTTGCCACCTGCAATTTTTCAAATAATATGAACAATTTGGGAGTATGAACTGTAACTCATTACCATTGTATCACCTGTGCTTGGAATGCAAGACTGAGAAGGGGCTTACATAAACATTCATGGCAGGGAGCACTGTGCTATTATGGAAAGATACATATAAAGACAGCCCTTTACCTGTGTGACCTCAGGTCAGAGACATAATGTACCTTCATTATCAATGTGTGCATAGTGGGGCTGTTACCACAGAAAGCTGTCATGGAGATTAAATAACTAGTATAATGTGAAGGTTAGAGCCAGTATATAATTGTTTTTGTTCAATACATGGGTTTTTCTGTTAGAATCAAATATGAAAACACAACAACCTCTCATGAAGAGAAATTCATTGCTAGCCAAAAACCAAAGTGTAAGCCCAAGGGCACTTGACTATGAGGGCTAAAAGAAACCTTAAAGGAAGGGCATAAGGTTTGGGTGAATGACAGTTTGCAAAGGAGAGAGGACGGATGTGCATCATCCTACCCTTATCAGGTGTACTGATACTCTTCAAGGTTTCGCTACCACCTAAACAGTCTTCAGAATTCTATTGACAGAAAATGAGGGTATATCTCAGTTAGTAAAATGCTTATCTAGCATGCAAGAGGTCCTGGGCTCAAGTCCTCAACACTATATAAAAGCAGACATGCTGATGCATACCTAAACCCCCAGCATCTTCAGCTATATAAGAAGTTTTAGACCATGCTAGGAAACATGAGACTGTTTAAGAAGAAGGATGAAGAGAAATAATGAGGAGGTGGAGAAGGAGAAGGAATAGAAGAATTATTCTAGTAACAATGAGTTTTCCCAACTTCATGGCTGTGAAGAAGAAACACTAGCAAGGAAGATAGGTTGTTAGGAAACCTAAATAATCTTATGATTTATAGCAGTTTATTTGAGATTTTACTGAAAATACATAGAACTGTGCTTTTTTCATTAAAGAACAAACATAAAAACCAGAAGGATTTCTATGGCAGTCACAGAGTATAAATTAGGAGAAACAACCTGTGCCTATTATGTAAGACAAATGCTGCACATGTAATGTACCATGGACAGCTCCTGATAAGTCTGGTCCTTGTTAGAACCCCATCAAGAAACAAGTTTCCTTTAACTTTGTATTTTTTTATTCCCAGATTGGGGACCGTGTCATGGCATTTGTCAACTACAATGCCTGGGCTGAGGTGGTCTGCACACCAGTAGAGTTTGTCTATAAGATCCCAGATGACATGAGCTTCCCCGAGGCCGCTGCCTTCCCCATGAACTTCGTCACGGCATACACCATGCTCTTTGAGATTGCCAACCTACGGGAAGGGATGTCTGTGCTCGTGCACTCAGCTGGCGGTGGAGTGGTAAGTTTGCTGTTTGTGTTTCTGTTTCTTCAAGGTCATGATGATACAAATGGAGTTGAACTTGACAAAGTGATTCTTATGTGACTTGTCATTCATAGGAATGACCCTCAACAGCAGTGGCACTTACATGATCAGCAGAAGTCTTTATAGGTTATCGTAATGTTGAGCATCACAAATGGTGTCTCTGGGGCTTAGGGTGCAGACATGGTGGTCTCAGGCATAGTTTCTGTGGAGAGACACTGAGTCTTGGCATCATAGTCAAGTGCTGTGTTGATTATTATGAGACATCTACACATATCACATCCTGTTGATGTCATATAAAATGCCAAGATAGTGGATAATGTCCTTTTCTTTGCAATTAATTGCAGTGTTCTTATAATAGCATTCTAATCCACTTGTTCTCTGCCATATTTTTGTAAATGGGAAAAATGTAGACAGAGATTGACCTCTCACACTGAGAACTGCACCCAAACCTTAGCACACTCAGGAGAGTGGTCATACATGGTAGTATTCTTTTTTGGGGGGATTTTTTTAATTGAAATTAGAAACATGCGTGCTTCAAATGTCAATCACATGGTAATATTCTATGTGAAATCTTTAAGACATACCTTTGCCAAATGGGAAAAATGAAGGAAATCAAAATTTCATCTCTATAGTTCAGGTTTATGTGAAGGCCATATATTATGCATTCAACATAAGCACCAAAACACATTGAAACCACAGAAGAAAAACCCATCGTACCTGAACTATAGTGAAGAAATTTTCTTTCATGGTTTCAATGTGTTTTGGTACTTATGTCCAATGCATAGTGTATGCCCTTCACATGGACAAGTACTAGACTTGACAATGTTCTATTGAGGTTTAACTGGGACTTTCATCTTTCTGAGAGGAGCTGGTATTATTCACCAACTCAACAAAGATTCGCTAAGCACATGCCGTGCTCTAGACTCAGAAGAGAAGGCACAATCTAACAAAATTCAAAAGGTTTCTAAGTTGTGATTCTGTTTGCTGGCTTCAGAAATGAGTTCTTAGGATTTAATCTAGCTCAGATATTTTCAGTGGAGGTTTTGTTAGTACTGATTTTTTTTAAATCCTAGGCTTTTTACAATTATCATAATTTTCTAAAATACAAAGTGTGTGTGTGTGTGTGTGTGTGTGTGTGTGTGTGTGTGTGTGTGTGTGTGTGTAAGCCAAAGGCTGACACTGGGTCATCAGGTACCCTTCCCAGTCATTCTCCATGCTTTTTCTAAATAAAGTCTGTCATTGATTCTGAAGCTCCCAAATTACTTAGACTGGCTGTCCAACAATCCCCAGGGATCTGCCCATCTCTACCTCCCCTGCAGTGGCACAATAGGCAACAGCACGTCTCTTTTTACCATGGATGCTGAGGCTGGAACTCTGGTCCTCATACTTGTGCAGAAAGCACCTTACCAGGGCAGTTCTCCCCACCCAGGAAGGTCATTTCTGCATTTCCTTTCTGAAAAAAGCAAGCTCACATCCAGAAGCATGGGTGTGAAAGTTTCAGAATGCCTTAAGAGATCTTTCATCTCATTCACAAATTTGCTGATGTCTTCTGACCATGAGTAAAGATATAATAAAAACTAAATGCGCCTTAGAAAAGAGAATACTTTCCATTCCAGCAATCTGCTAAGAGCAAGCAAGCCATTTAGAATGCTGGCATTTATGGTCTTAGTGTGTTCTGCATACAAAGTGTGGGGATATTTTCACATTGCCAGTAGAAGCTCCCATCCATATGGTGATGCTGGCTTCAGTCCTGCCAAGGGTCAGTGTGATGGTTCATTACACTTAACTTGTCTACTTGATTAGCTCTGAGATAAACTAAAATGCAAGCTCCTGGGAATTACCAGGACTTTCTTGATTAGATTAGTTTATTCAGGAAGGCCACCCTAAATGTAGGAACCATCTTCCAAGGGCAACCCAGATAAAAAGACATGCAAGACAGAAACCTTACTTCTTGCCTACTTGCCTCCACTCTTGCTGGCAAGTCCATCTGTCCTATTGCTGCAGCACTCTTTCAGTGGTAGTAGAACCAGTCTCTTCGGGCTTCCAGTATAAGCTGAAGACTAGTAGCTCTCCAAGAATCTTTCAGGCCTTCAGCATCAGACTGGGACTGCTGAGCTGCCCAGTCTCGTGGACTGAGCAAGCCAGCAAGCAGCATTCCTCTGTGGCCTCTGTTTCAGTTCCTTTCTCCAGAGTCCTGCCTTGACTTCCTTGCACCAACTTCCCTCAGTGATGAACTGCTCCCTGGAAGTGTAATCCAAAGGAACCTCTTGTTACCAAGTTGTTTTGGGTCAGAATGTTTTATCATAGTAATGAGAAGCAAACTAGAACAGTTAATTTGCATATATCTGTACCAGCATCTATCCTTGCCAGTATATTTGTGCTAGTGGCTACACTCTTTTGGGCATGGCACATATGTCATCACTGATTTTCTACATCTTTCTCTTTGTGCTAAGAACACACGAAAAGAAATTCTTAGTTCTGGGATTGTAGGTATTGCCAACAATAATTGAAATGAGAAAAATGGTGAAGAATTAGAGAAAAAGGGACAATAAGATGAGGAAAATAAGTTATTTGGGGTTACCCAGGCTGGTGTGTTTTAAAGCTTTGTTTGAGATGGGCAATAATTTTTTCTCTTGGCTTCATAATAGCTGGTGAAAATAGGGGGGGGGGATGATCATTCATGTGAGCAAGCTATGTTGATTTGATAAAGCACACCTATTAGAGAGAAAAATACCAGTTTGGAGACTAGAGGGCTGATCTGTGGCTTTTCACAAGGAACATATGTGGGAAAGCCAACAGAATCCTCACTAGAGCTCAAAGTCAAGAGTAATATTTCCACATAGTCTCTTATGCTGTGCTCCCAAAGTTGTCAAATAGTATTGAAGTCAAATAAAAATTTAGTGAGAGTCAACATGCTGGGACCAAGAATATATGGCCTGGCTTCATCTTTGGACAGACTTAAAGATATGGTTCAGCCACATGTCTCTCCAGAGGACCTCTCCAGGGCCTCATTGAAAATCATTTCTCCCCGACAAGATTAGTAGGTTTGTTGAAACAATTCAAGGTCATCATTAAAGGGAAGAGTGTATACCAAGCACATCCTTCCACATACAGACAGTTATTTGAGCTGAGCAGGGTTGACAGTCCTGCAGAAATGAAGATTGGCCTGGGGAAGGCCGGGACCACCTTCACCCCACATTGTGGAGGTGAGTGAATCCTCCAAGTTAGAACCAAAGTCCTCCCAAGACAATGGCTGCTGACTATTCATGTGGTCAGGGACCCCATGAGGGCAATTTTACCTGCATTGCTGTGACACACACCCTTGGAGAGGAATAGAGATGTTCCATACCACTGTCACAGCCATCCTATGTGCAGTTGTTGCAGTAGGCAGAGTCTCCTGAGTCTCCAGTGTGTCCCTTACAAAGCAATGGGAATTTCACAAATTTGATCAGGGTAAGGGTCTTGAGATGGAGAAATTCTCTCAGATTGTGGCTAGTTCTAAAGTAATCACAATAATTTTTGAAACTAAAGAGGGAAAAAGAAGAGTCAGGGAGGTGTAAAGATGCTTCTGTGTGGCTTTGCTGGCAGAGTGGGGCTATGGCCAAACACAGCAGGTGAGCTGTAGATGCAGAGAGAGACAAGGCATCTAGAGCCCGTGGAAGAAAACAACTCTGCTAACACTTGTTTCAGCTGAGTGAAACCCATTTTGAATATAAGATTTCCAGAGACACAATATAAGCAAGATAGATTTTGTGAGCTCCTAAGTTTGTAGTAATTTGTCACAGAGGCCATTTTTCCTAGACTGTCCCTCGCAGTGGAGATCCCGCTGTGGCTTAACAAAAGCACAGGAAGCAATAGAAGAATTAAAATTTGTACCTACTCTGGGTTATCCTAAACCTATTCTTTTCTCACTCAGCAAACCCACCCAGAATGGTAGGAGAACACTGGTCTTTCGTTTTCATGCTTCCACTTACTGAGGACAGGGGAAATGGCTCTGTCAGGAAAGTGCTTGCTACACAAGCTTGAGGACCTGAGTTTCATCTCCAGAACCTATCCCGAACCTAAAGCCAGTGAAGCAGAGACAGGCAAGTTTTGGAACAGCCAGTTTAATTTGATAAATTCCAAGCCAGTGCAAGACCTGGTGTCAGAAAACAAGGTAAACAGTTCCTGGCTCTCCCCCCCCTCTCTCTCTCTCTCTCTCTCACACACACACACACACACACACACACACACACACACACACACACACACACACCGCATTTAGTGAATTTTCGGGAATAAGTATAGACATTTCAAAATCTCTGAGACTGTGGCCAAGGTATATGATTAAATGTCAGTAGGATAAAACTGTCTAAATTGGGTTTCTGTAAAATATACAGTCTTAATAGCACCAAGATTTCTGTCAGCTTTGCATTAAAGATCAGGGTGGAAATTTTGCAGATAGCTCACAAAGAATGCCAACCTTAGCTGTGATTCTAAAGAACTATAATAGGACATTAAGAAATAATTCAGACCAGAGCAGGATGTGTGGTTGCTGGAGTGCCCCAAATGTATCCACTATTCTATCAAAGCCTTGGATCCATAATTTCCTCTGACTATAGCAAGAGCAGATGGCCTGAGATGCTAATGCCCCTAATAAATCTTGAGAAACTGGTGGAAAATTGGTTCATGAGCCCTTAAAATGAAAGTAACAAAATAAGCAATGGTGTGGGACTCCTGTCAGGAACTGTGTGGGCTTTCTTCCAATTCCATTCAGTGAGCCTTGTTGATAAGCCTTCTGATTTTGGACATCATACTAGTGTGTTCCTGTTCTGTAAGTGGCATGGCTGTTATTTGGAAGCCCTTTGTGACATTGGATGCTATCTACTTTGGGTTCCACCCCTCTATTTTCCTCATGTTGGAGCAGTAATCCCCTTGGCAGTGTAGCTTTCAAGCCTGTCCTGGAACTTGCTTTGTAGATCAGGTTGGCCATGAAC